TCTTTTCGGTTTTGAAGCTCCAACTCTCGCAGAGCCCGGTTTCTCAATACAACTCCCGGTGTTATAAGAAACGATCATTTTAAGGAACGAATTGCTGCCCGATTATCATCAAACCAAGTGAGTGTATAGTCAATTTTATCTTACACATAGATATGAAGTATTTTCTATAAAATATGTGTTATGTGTAATTATATTGATTGTTTATTTGAGATGATTGTTGAATACAATGTTTTATACAAGTTATAAATTGTATATGTATTTTATCTACAAATATGTTGGGTAGAACATGGGTAGACAAAATAGTTGATGTGTGTTAAAATGATGAGAGGCCTCGATGTTGTTGTTGTTCCAGTCATCTAGCGGAGTGTGGATGACGACCACAGACTCTTCTAGACAGTCTAGTGGAACGCTAGCATGCTCGCAACCTGTAGGTGTTGTGAATGATGTGTTCACCGGTGTACTCCATCCCCCTCATGGTTGCCTTTAGGACATTTATTGTTGAGGAACCCCTTTAGCAGTAGTGTCTAGCCCGATGATAAAATCCTTAGACTAGGTCCCTTGTATAGGTTTTTAGGGACGTAAAGTGAGGATAACGGGAATGGGTAATCAGGGTTATTGTTGGTTGATGAAATTAATAAATTTAATGTTGATCGATGAAATTAATAAATTTATTATTATTTATGGGTTGAAAACCCTATATGCTCACCAGGCTCCCAAGCCTGACCCACTCAGCTTACTGTTTTACAGGTAGTGGACTCAGAGCATAATTATGATGATGATGAGGGATGTTTGGATTATAGGCCATTAGTTGTAAATAACTGTTGTAAGGCTTATAATGTACTGTTTATACTTATGTACTGTATCGAACATGACATCCCAAGTCTTTTAATGAAATACATTTATAAGGAAATGCTTTTGATAAATCTTTATCATATTATTGTTTTGGGACAAATTCCGCAATTCTTTTATTAAAAGGTTACTCTGATTTTGAAACAAAGTATAAACAAAACCGGTCTTTTCTGGCCGGGAAATTGGGGATGTCACATCTAGTAAAACTCATAAGCATTAACATTTAAATCAACAATTTCAAGAATCATATAAACATATATAAAACTTGAAAATTTGATAATAGCCATTGTAAATGGATTAGCATACTCATTACCACATCAAAAACAGGTTTCATAAGTCCAAAACAGTTTAGGGTAATGATTCTAGTCCATTTCTAGCAGCAAAACTCGAAAATCTGCACACATGGCCTCCTACTCGTCGAGTGCAAGAACCTACTCGACGAGTAGGATGAAGTTTCACTTGGACTCGTCGAGTCCCCCCATGGACTCGGCGAGTTCACTAAATAGTTAGCAGAAATTCAACCTTTTTCAAGCAGTTTGCATCAAGTATATAGAAAACAAAACCTAGCTCTGATACCACTGATGGGGTTTAAGCATTCGAACACTGATGGTGTACATGCAACCCTAGAAACCTTGGATATATGTTTTCTTTAACATACATGCAAATATGATTTTTCCAAGGTTCTCATTCTAACTAGCATATCATGGGGTACTTGTAATATAAAAATTAGTAGAATGACATACCTTTGTTGTTGCTTGGATTCCTAAAGACTTTGTGAGCCTAGCACCCCAAATGTGATCTCAATAGTTTCACACAACACCACAACACTTGGAATAACTTGAGAGAAGTACACTTGAGCATAAATTCTGCTAGCCCTCACTCTTATTGTCTTAGTGGCCAATTTTGCTCCATATGAGGTTCCTTATATAGTGTGTCACATGTAGGGTTACACCATCTAAACCCTAATGTGCATGGCTTTTCATTTCCCCCATGATCCGTGTGATTTAACCTCTATGGAGCATCCATGGAGCACCTAATGGGTCCTAGCCCAATCTAGTGAATCATGGACCTTGAGCCCACTATATAAGAATGAAAGATTTACATAATCAATCCTCATATATTTAATTAGTTTCTTTTGATCACAAAATTAATTCTTAAGCAATACAAATTAAACATATATATATATATATATATATATATATATATATATATATATATATATATATATATTATCTTGTACAAATCAATTACGTATAAATAAATCATTATATTTACCAATGTTTAACGATTTCAGTTAAAGAAGGTTATTAAGAAACTTAATTTAGAGCAAAATGAAAAAATTAAAATTTTAAATTCATGTAATTAATTTCTATTTTTTAAACTAAACACCGATATTAATGAATTTACATCAAATGTAAAAACAAACAATATACGTTTAAAGTCTAAACATAAATAGTTTATTTAAAAGTGGAAATATTTTTATTACATATTAACCAATAAAAAATCTAATAATTATTTTTCCATAAGAAAACTATATCTCAAAAGAGAAATTTATCATCATCGCGCGGACACACATCTAGTAATATAATGTTCTAACTGTGGTAATTAAAAAAAGGAAAAAAATGTTGTTTTTTATATAACATATGATTCAATTCAATAAATAAATTAATAAATAAATAAAACAATAAATAACGGGGTGCCAATCATAGTAAGAAATAAAGCGGCAATGGGTCACCGCACCGTATACCGTACCCAAGATGTGGTGTTCCGAAGTGCGGTTCCGGCCACCACACAGCTATATGTGGTACATACTACGATCTTATAGACACAATACTCTATGTCAACCACTTAAGACTATTCTCATTTACAAATGACAAAAATTGCAAAAATGCTCCATGTGGTATTCAAATTTTTGGGGTTTTAGTCCACACATCGAGTTTTTTTGAGAAGTGGTTTGTATATGAAAATAGTCTCTCCGAAAATTGAAATGACTATAATACCCTTGAGGTATTTATTTTTCATTTTTCTTAAAATTTAATATTTATTTATTTATTTTAACAATTAAAAAAAATAATAAAGGACCCACCTCTCTCTCTCTCTCTCTCTCTCAAACATGTTAGAAAAAAATGGATATAAGTCATACATACAAGGTGTTCGACAAAATGCTCTAACAAATAACATTTCCTATACCCAAGAGCTCTGGATCAGTAACCCATGTTCGTCATTTTTTGACCACTCATCGTGGTGAGCTGCCTAGATTCGTTGTTTGTGAATTCTTTAAGGAGTTGATAAGCCTTCCGACCATACATCTTGATGTTTTAGTTGTTTGTAGATCCTCATGCAACTGCAAGAAACCACATAAGCATTTCATCAAACACGTTAACTACATGATCTGACAATGACTACATTCACCAATTATTCAGTGAATGAGGGAAATTTGAACATATGAATGTCAATTGTGATATAAAGAAAAAGACAAAACAAAGAGTTTTTTAGATATCTAAGATATCTACTTTTGGATATCAGAAATTACGGATGATCTGATAATGTGAAATGAACAATAAATGTTGTTGGGGAGATTTTGTATTTGAAAATAAACCTAATCGATTAAGTTGTGTGTGTGAGATGGGGAAGATGATGAATATGTTGTATTTTTACAGTGTGTTTTATCCTCATAAAAACCTTCTAAAGAAATTTGGTCTCTAGTAAAGCTGCAAGGTTAAGACTTTACCCAAGTAAAACTTGGATGAGATGAGGCTGAAATTTTTCGGGGTGTTCTTCAAACCCCTTTACCTTTTTGAAGGGTAAGGCTTCCATGCCTCAGCATGTGCATCGCCGAGACTAAATCATGTGCAGCAAGGACTAATCAATGGTTTATCCGTTCCAATTCAAAATATTATTCAATAAACATCACCGAGACAATGGAATGGGATCGAAGGTGCAAGGAATTGGAAAACCCATTAGGGGTCGATGAGGGTTCCCTTATAAACGAAAATCCCCTTCGTACAAGTAAGCTCTCAACTCCCATTTATTCATCTTTTTTTACTCGAACGTAGCTAATAGTTCTTCATCAATAATTTACAAGTTTTATTGCATAATAGTTGAGGTAGAAAACGTGGGGAAGAAGAAGATGGGTTGGAAAGAAGAATATGGATTGTGGTGGGCTTTTTGACTTTATATATATATATATATATATATATATATATATATATATATATATATATATATATATATATATATATATATATTAACTATTTTTTTCATTTAAATTAAATAGAAAAAAAAACATAAAAAATTAAATCAGAAGGGCATTACTATCATTTCAGTTTACCGAGGGACTAAATCTGCAATGAAAGTAACTCAAAATGATCACTAATCCAAAAAAATCGGGGTTTAAACTAAAATCCCAAAAAAATACATACTACAGGAACAATTTTTGCAATTTTATCTTTACAAATAAAACCAAACCAACTATATATTAAAACTAAAAATTTAATTTGTTTCTTTTTCACATATACAATCCAATAAACTTAAAGCTTCACTCCTATTAACAACTCAACTCAACCAAAAATTTTAATATTAACAATAATATATATATATATATATATATATATATATATATATATATATATATATATATATATATATATATATATATATATTAGTCTCATTTTATAGAAAAAACTAAATTATAATTTTTTTAATATTAACAACAATAAAAAAAAAATATCAATATTAGTCTCATTTTATAGAAAAAAACTAAATTATAAACTTTAGTATATGTTGTTTTTTCAACAAAATAAAACATATTTTTTTAAAATTATAAAGTTTGTTTGATAAATAAATGCCAATCAAGAATTGTTTAAATGAAGAAAAAGAATTGTCCAAATGGAACCAACCGACTTGAGGTTGCTGCACCAACATCGTCCGTGGCTTTCATTTTTTTTTCGGCCCAACCAATCAAAACTATTGGTCACCAATAAAAGTGATCTAACGAACTTGTTTACATCATTTACACATCACATAATAAGTTTGAAAAATAAGTTTTAGAGGTAATATGTTTACTATATATAATAACCTTTCTGCAAATATTCTGCTCATTCCACATGTTGGAAATACATATTGCATTTAAATTATTCTTTTAACATTTAGGAAAAAAAAAAAAAAACAAAAACAAAAAACCTTGAAAAATATTTTATTATTACTTTTAGTACAGTTAATATCCTTGTGCATATATACCATCCGAAGCCATATTAAAATCGCAAAGGCGCAAAGACAGATATAACTTGAAAACAAGCATGTCAAAAGAGAGCTTTAAGGGGTTATATGCTCGTACCAAGCCTTTTATGTTCATGATCTTCTTGCAAACCTCGTATGCTGTTGGTAGCTTAGTTACTAAGTCTGCCCTGAACAAGGGCTTGAATCATTACACTTTTGCTGTTTACCGAAACGCTATTGCAACTCTCTTCTTCGGTCCTTTGGCTTTCTTCACCGAAAGGTATATATATGTTTCTATATATATACATGTCATGAAGTGTATGAATCTACCATTTTTCTTTATAGTTACTATTCATTTGCTGGTGGAAACAGGAAAGCAAGGCCAAAAATGACGGTTTCCATCTTCCTGAAAATCATATTGCTGGGATTACTAGAGTATGTATGCTATATTCTATGTTTTTCTTCTGTAAGAAAGAAACCCTAATCATTGCACGATTGCATGCATTATCATCTGAGCGATGGTTTATATATTGAATCACAGGCCAGTGATAGACCAGAACTTGTTCTATGCTGGAATGAAATCTACAACGGCAACTTTCGCGTCTGCTATGTGCAACATCCTTCCTGCCATTACCTTTGTCATGGCTTGGATGTTTAGGTATTATTCCTTTAACATTCTTAAGCGAATTGAAAAATGAAAATATTGGCTGTGTACAAAACACGTAAAAAACGACACAAATACAAGAATTGTCATCTACGGATCCTAATTAAGCTGTTGAGTGTCATCAACTTTTTTGCTTGGATGTGATCCATGCTTTAACGTCAGTCATACTAATTAAATCAAAGCCAGTATTCATTATTCCTACTTAATATTGTCCGATTGGATTGAACATGCTTGTTAGGTTCGGGTTAATTTGATCGGTCATTCTAAGACTCGTACGAACAAAGAATAGTATTTTTTTTCCTTTTTAAGTTGAGGTATAATATATTAACTTCAGGATAAAATAACCACTATATATACCATTCTGCTTAATTTTCACTTTTAAAAAATTAAATAAAAAATAATACACAAGACTCAAGTATAATTTTGCAAAGCTGAAACACCAAGCACCTTGGAGGCATCGGATGACACTCCTAACATATTGTACGCCTTATTCTCGAGTTTTTGTATGTAAGGAAAAAGAAGGAAAATAGATGAAAGTTTTGTTCTTGAGTTTTTTGAAGGAGAGGAAGAAAATGAAATACAGTGAGTTGTGTTCTCGAGTTTTATATTAGCAGGAGAGAAGAGAAGGAAAGGAAATGGAAAGAAAATAAAGTTTTTTTTTCTTTGAATCTATCCTCTCAAATATTAGATGATTGGGAAGGGAATAAAAGAAAATGATTCCCCCCTGTTTCCTTTCTTTCCCCTCAATTTTAATCTCGAGGAGAGGGGAGTAGTATTCTGCCGCTCAAGCTCCCTTTCTCTCACCATGATTGACCCATCATTTTTATGGGTAATTATCAAGCCTATCCATTAATCAACTTTATTAAAGTGAAACAAGATAAAGAGTTTTACAGGTGTTTTACATAAAACTTTTTCTTAATTTCAATAATATTTTATTTATTTATATATGAAATATATATTTGTCTCTCTAAAAGTCTTGTGGAAAAATAAAGACTCCGATATATATATATATATATATATATATATATATATATATATATATATATATATATATATATATATATATATATATATATATACATACATATATACATATATATATATATATATATATATATATATATATATATATATATATATATATATATATATATATATATATATATATATATATTATAAAGTATCATGTCATCCCCAGAAGCTAGCTCGATGCGGATTAGACAAAGAGGTTAAGCCAAAGGGTGTTGGATGTCGGGTCTAATACCATATAAATTATATGTGGATTTTAGGTTTTTTTTTTCCAAAAGAATCTTCATAAAAAAGAGAGAGAAGTCCAACGTATCCTCCTTAATAAATTAAGGTTTTTTTTGCCACTTGTCAATCTCACATGAGTTTTGACACTTATTATTTTGTGGTAATTTTGAAATAAATATTATCCACTTGTTAATTTTTGGTTTGTTTTAATTTGTAATTAAAATCATATACTTATATATGTAAAGTATTAAAAATCATATATATGATATTAAATTGTAATAAATATGTTTCTTTCTTTCTTATTTTAAAGTTGTATATTAAAAAATATTTCATTTTTATATTTTAAATTTAATCATTTTTTAAATCAACCCGTATAATATACGGATCTCACACCTAGTATAAAGATATATAAAACATTTTCTTACCAAACGAATGAACATATTAGTTACAGTAGAAGTACAACATATATAAAGATATATGAAACCTTCTCGTACCAAGGATGAACATATTAAGTATATATACTTTTTGAGAATAAGCTTTATGAAAAAACTTGGTATAATATAATTGAGATATATTTTAGAGGTTTTTTATTGAGTTAATTAATGTTGATTGGAATATAAGCTTTTTCTATTTTGGATCTTTGGGATTTTTTATCTATAATTTTGATGAGAAATGTCCCATAAAATCTAAATATTTTTTTGTCAGGTTACACTTTAATATTAAATTAATTTTGTTTACAAAAATGGACATGCCCATTAAAATTTTGGAATAATCATTTTTGGTCGATTTCACATATTTAGTCGATATCAGGTCTTTTTTCTTTAATTTAGGCATAGTATTATTTGAGACATTTTTAAGATTAGGTTAGTTTTAACCAATAATCAAAATATTAATATTTTTCTAAAATTATGTTTTTTTTATTCTTTAGAATTAACAACTATATTTTTTTTATTTATAATTAAAAAGATGTGTTATATAATGTAAATGGGCAGAAAACTATAGATTAGTACAAACTTCATATTATAGTTTTATGCAATATTTTGAACGCTAATATGTACTTGGACTGAACTATAATATTCTTACAAGTGAATGTGATTGTGAATGTAATGATTCTTCCTCAAATGATGGTTTCACTACCATAATCCTCAATCTCTTCTTTTAGAAATAGGTTTTATAAATATGCTTTTAGAATTTCTAAAATTTTAAATCAAGCTCAAGATGCATCAACATAAATTTTATATTATTTTTTGAATTTTCCATTGAAGAATCTCTAAACTATCAAATCAAGTTTGAAAATCACCTAAAATTGTCCTGGGGAGATCGAGGTCGTCGTTACTCACTTGTAGCATTATTTTAGTTATTGAGTTTTTTAAAAAAATAAAATAACAATATTGTAATAATAATAATAATAATAATAATAATAATAATAATAATAATAATAATTTATCATACTCATAAATGATTACAAAAGACGTGTTATGTTTATATAGCAATTGACATTTGTTCAAGGTAACTTAAAAACAAATCCCAATATTTTGGATGCTGATAATCTTAAAAACAATCCCAATATTTTAGATGTTCGTTAAGAATAAGATAATCTTCAAAAAAATCTCAATAATTTGACCCAATTTACGGAAAAAAATGGGATACTGTTAAATCTATGGAACCGGTCTAAAATGGTTATTCCAAAATTTTAGTAGCTATAATATGTTTTTTGTAAACAAATTTTAATTGATGATTAAAACTATAAACCAACCGAAAAATCTATGTTATCACTAGGCGAATATCTGCGTGTTACGCAGAATATTAGTTTATAGTTGAAATATTTATAAATATACAGGTTTATATTAATTATAACAATGAGGTTCTTAACTTTGATATAATAATTTTTAAACCAAGTTGTTATTAAACATTGATTGTTTTGAATGATATTACAATGTATACATCTACTAAAACTATATAATATCCATTGTCTCGATGAGTTCTACTTACTGGTTACTCATAAAAAAAATTAAAAATAATATATGGTTAAATGTTATTTATTAATTTTGTCATTGTAAATTTTTTTTTTTATTTTTTTTTTGTTTAACATTTTTATTTCTATCATTGTAATTATTTAACAACATCAAACATTGTTTTTTTAAAGGTAACAATATAGTTTTTTTTACATAATGTTAGTTTTGACTATTTTTGTTGTAAGTTTTTTTTAAACTACTTATTTAAAAACTTTTAATGATTATAAAAAAAGTTTTAAATTTTTTTAGTTATTTTGGGATTGAAATTTATGTTTAATATTATAATTTATAGCTTTTAACTCTTTATAAAATAGTCTTTCGATTTTTTTTCAAGTTTAACTGAAATTTTGATTTAAGTTAACCATTTAACATTATATTGAAATTAATAACTTAAGTATTTTGCATAAAATCATAAATTATACAAAAAGTTATGATTTTAAAATGACAATTGCTCACATACGACAATATATATGTAAATTAATAAGTTAACTATAATATGTTAAAAAATTAAAGTTATAATTTTATAAGTATAAGTAAAAAAATATAATATTTTAATATTGTAGGTTTGTTAATTTATTATTAGAATTTAGTTTTTGTATTAATTTAATATTATTAACAAATTGATAATAAATATTAGAAATAAATTGAAAATTCATGAAGGTTTCAAATGCATGCGTCGTAAGAAAAAATATCTCATTTATAAGTATATTAGACGAATGGTCGCGCGTTGCGAAGAAACATATATATAGTTGAAATCTTCACAAATATATGTTTTTTTAAATATAATAATAACGTTATTGTTAAATTTGATATATTAATTCATATACTAAATTGATATAATATATTGATTATTTTGAATTATATGTTAATATATACAACTATTAAAATTGCATAATCTGAATCGTTTTATATTTTTATTTGCATAACATTTTAATTTATATCATTGTAATTATTTAAAACATCAAACATTATTTTTTTTGTTTTTAAAGGTAATAATACAATCATTTATATAGAGTTATTTTTAACTATTTTTATGGTAATTTATGATCATAAAAATATATTTAGGAAATATTTTAGTTAAATTAAGATTACAATTTAGTTTTTGCATTTAGCACTATAATTTATCAGTTTTAACTATTTATAAAATATTCTGTGAGTTTTTTAAATGGAACTAAAATTTATATTTAAGTTGATCATGTAATTTTATATTTAAACTAACAATTTAAGTATTTTATTCAAACTGTTCAAAGTTATAGCTTTAACTGATAATGGTTAAATACAACAACATACTAAATCTAATATATTAAGCATAATATGTTAAAAGTTAAAGACATAATTTTATAATTAAAAGTAAATATATTATTATAATATTGAAATTTAGTTTATTTCTGATTACACTTTAGGTTTGATATTTATTTAACCTTATTAACCAACTTATAATTATTATTAGAAAAAAAAATTGAAAAGTCATGGAAGTTTCAAATGAATGTGGTGAAAAGAAAAATAGTTGGGAGTTTCAAATTGATGTGGTTAAAGGAAAAATGCTTTATTTATAATATAGTATGATATGATATGATATGATATGATATGATATGATATGATATAGATTATTTCGTATGTAAGTTTTTCCATTGTCTTTCCATAATGACTATCGTTTAACAGCAACTTAGTTAATGTAACATGTTAAAGACCAAAATATTGCTATAACCAAACATGGGTGTCCGTCATAACTAAAGTTCCTAGAACCGGTACGAATTACTTGTAGAGAATAATAGAACATGGTGCATAAAGTCTTCCAGACTTAAAAGATCTTAGTATTACAGAAACCCATCAAATCATGTATATATTTAACTACTTTTTGGAGTCTAATAGATGGAAAATTAGCATTGATTCACCAAGCAAATGAGTCTTAATTTTTTCTTTATCCTCGTAGACTTGAGAAGGTGAAGATGAAAAGTTTACATAGCCAGGTGAAGATCATAGGGACATTAGTGACGATTGGTGGAGCCATGATAATGACTCTAATAAGAGGCCCTAAAATTCAATTTCCATGGACAAATAATCATACTCTTCATCATGAATCTCCGGTTAACACCATGAATACACAAGATCAAATCAAGGGATCTCTCATGATCACTGCTGGTTGCATTTCTTGGGCGAGTTTCGTCATCCTTCAAGTAAGATTTCAGTCCAAAATTATGGTTCAGTTACGTCTTAAAAAAACTGAACATACATAACAAATTTTTTGATGTTGATGGATTTGGATTTTAATAAAACACGATAGATAAATTATATATTGATAAGGTGCTTAGATGTTGAAAAATTAGTCAAACAAAATATTTTCGTCACTAATTGCTTATGATTGTCTACACTAAAGCAAAAAGGTCTCGCCGAAAACCTTTTACATATCCATCACTAAAAAAGATTCCACTATACGATCTTCCAAATTTAAAACACATCACTCAATTCCAGTCGAAAAAAAAAGTTTTTAATTCAGCAATGCCATTTTACATAAAATTGGATTATTTTACACTGAACTCCTAGAAAAAGGTTACATGATATTTCCAAATTAATATTATGTTTCAGCTAGAAGCTATACTAATATTTATGTTTCTTTGATGCATTTAAAAAGGCGGTGACATTGAAGTCGTACCCAGCTAATCTATCTCTCACATGACTCGTGTGTATGATGGGCACATTAGAAGGGTCTATACTTACCCTTGTAGTTGAGAAGGCCAATACCTCAATCTGGTCAATTAATTGGGACATCAAATTATTTGCAACGATTTATAATGTAAGAAAATTAATAATATTTATATCCATAACATGTTAGTTACCATGATTAAAATAATCTATTATCAGTGTCATCAATTTAATTACTAAGAAAATTGGTACTTCAAAAATGTTGTCACGTTTAAAAGGATAGGAGGATGAAAAATCTTCCTACAGTTTTTTTCATTCCTATCTTCCAACTCATATAATATTATAACATGTGGAACCCATTAATTCTTTCTCTTGATCTTCTTTCTTGATTATGACACTTTCTTTGATCAAATGAGTAGTAAGATGATTAGGAACAAATGACAGGGGATATTTGATTTCCCAGGGAGGAAATATTACAACTTTTTGAAATCCTTGAACCAAAACTTTTGACGAACATGGATGAACCAAAATTTTGGAGTAATATGAACAAAAGATAGTGGATATTTCCTCTGTGAAAAACTGTTGGTCCTGGTCATAATTTGTTTAATCATGTGCCACTTTCAAACTCACTAAAGTTTGATTATTACATATGCTTATCTAGGCACAACAAAAAAGTTGTTTAAATGAGAAATCAAATATCCTTCGACCTTTTGTTCATACTCGTTAGATCAAGACAAGTGTCAAAATCAATAAATGGATTTAGAAAAAAAAATTAGTGGATTACACGTGTCATTATTCACACTATACGATCTATTTCTTTTCATGAATGATATTGTTATCTTGCTTGTGATTATCTTTCATAATATTTTCTTGGATTGTGTGAATATATAGGGAGTAGTGTGTTCTGGATTTGCATACTACATTTCGGGAGTGGTAATGCAGGATAGAGGACCAGTATTTGTGACGGCTTTTAACCCGCTTAGCATGGTTATAACTTCCATGTTGGAGTCTTCTTTTTTAGTCGAGAAATTGAACTTAGGAAAGTATGTTTCTTACTCTCAACTCTCATGGCTTTACTTTATTACCAATTAGTTTCTTTTACTAAAATAAAACATATCGAGATAATACTCTAGATAATTAATAGCCCTTTGTTTTCCCTTGATCATTTTATGGAGATTAATTTCTTAATTTATATCGTAGTATTATTGGAGCAATTGTTATTGTCCTTGGGCTGTATTTGGTGATATGGGGCAAGAGCAAGGATCAAAAACAACAAGGTCACGAGCCATCACTTAATCAACAAGAGAATGGAATGAAGAGATCAATTAAACATAGTGTCGATGTTGTTAATTCTCATGGTAAACCATCTAGTGATGTTGAAGTAGTTTAGGGAATTTGCTTAGACAGTATTTATCATTTTCGTCTTATGATTATTAGTATCATTAGAAGCTTGGTGAAACTGTCACACCCCGTTAAAGTGGAAACACGAAGGGTGACAGGCTAAGGTCTCATAACACAAGGTAAATAGGATTACCAACCATAATCATTGAGCATTTTTATATTTACATCATATTCTAAACAATATTACATTTTAGTTCCATACTACATAGTCTAGTACATAACAAGAGCAATAAACATAAATCATTATGGCGTCTTAAAATGGATCATTGACCTTTTCCCGAAAAGCATGCAAAACGAGGCTCAACTATAAAATAGTTGGTGAGTTCATAGGTTTATAAAGGCACATCATTTCAGTAAGAAAATGTATATTTGTTCGACAAAAGTTCAAACTCAAAATAAGTGTTGAGTACCAAAGCACTCCGTTCACAACCAAGACTAACGACCGTTCTTGACCCATTCTATCATGTCCATGGTTCCCATGATGTCACTTCACGGAAATATGCACTCACGGTTTTGGGGGAGTGGGGGTTGTCAACCCCAAATAGCGTTATCCATAAGACTGTCAGCTCAAAATACAAGTTAATAGGTTGTAGTTCGGTTCTCGAGGACTTAACATACAAAGGTCATAACAAAGTTCATATCACAAAGTTCATATCAAGAGTTCATAGCATAAAGTTCATAGCACAAGCTCATAAAAGAGTCTTGTTCCAAGTTTACTAAGTTCATAAAACAATATCGTTCCAATTTCATTAAGTTCATAAAACAATATCGTTCCAAGTTCATTAAGTTCATAGAACAAGGCTCAACATCTTAAGAAAATAGAGTTCAACAAGTTCATAAAGCAAAGCTCCACAAGTTCATAAAATAGTACAGATAGCTCATAAAATGGTAGCATGCTTTCCACCCTAAAACATGAAAATAGTAAAAAGGGGGCTGTAAATACTCACTATGGAGAGTTTGCGGTTCGAGCTTAGTGGTTTTGTATTGTAGAGATCGATTTCTACTAGTTCCCTATGGAAAAAATAGTTTCTAGTGAGATACAATTCACTAAAACATTATCTAAGATCTACCTATCCAACTAGTTGTGTCGCAAAGTGTCCAAAGTTTTTTCGGTTCATTATTGGTATTATCGAATTCACGGTGCCTTCTGTTCAAAAATCCATAAATGCATGAAAATGAATTCCAAAAACTGTAGCAATTTTTATTCTAGTTCTAACAGGGGTTATGAGTGTCTCGAAATTTTATAGGAATTTTTGAAGGCCATTTGTTATTTAATTGCAATTTAAGTCTAAATAATAGGAAATTTTTTAAATAAATAGAAAACAATTGCAATAATTTCCAATTCAATTTCCATAGGTTCTTATAATGTTTCCCAAACAGTGAAAAATATTGGTTTGTGCTCTTGAGTCCTAAAACCCCATTTGTAAATTCATGCCCTAATTAAATGAACAATCTGAATAAAATACCAAACAGTGACCAAATTGTATGAAAATTTAGGTGGCATGCATATTTTATACATAAACCAATTATATAATTTTTAGATTTTTATCTCATCTGCAAGTATTTATTTTGAATTTTTGGTCATTAAATCCTTATTTTTGTAGAAAAATAAAGAATATGTTCTAGTACTTGGGGTTTTACAGAACATCCCTTGAAACCATGAGCTTACATAAAAAAATCTAGCTAAAAATTATTTCAGAGCTAAATGGGGTATTCAACCCCCAATAAGTTTAGAAATGTAGCACTAACTAGTGCATGAGTTCCAAATGTGGCTGGAAGTTTAACAATTTTTGTACAAATTTCTATAACATGTTTGCTCATGAAATTTTAGTTCTTCTTAGATAAATGTGTCAAGTTCCTAAAATAATTTTCTCAAGATTTATTGTGGGGTTTAAGGCCTTTGATCATCTAATGAAATACTAGTGATCACAGAAAAAGTTCTTTTTGCGCAATAGTTTTGTAAAAATCGTAAAAAATCAAATTATTAATGTTATACAGTGAGACACTTGGGTCATATGTTTATAGAAATATGTCTCAGAAAAATAATATTGTGGATTTTTGAATCCGAACAAATTTTTCTGACAGAATACATGTTATTTTTGGTTGATTAAAGTGCCTATTTGGGTCATATGTTTACAAGAACAACATGCATAACCTTTATGGTTGAAAGTGAATGATAATATACTAGAGTTTATAGAAGAACAAGAAAATTTTACATGCATGTATCCAAGCCATAGATCTAGGTTTATCCAAGGCCCCAAAGTGGGTGTTTCATTCTTGTGATAGAGAACTCTTTGAAACCACCGAATATTACACTAGGATTGCACCACAAATCCGATTTCTATCACATGCATGTAATGAATAAGCGTCCAAGATGCACTAGAAATGGTTTGAATGGTTTTTGTTATGTTAAAACACAAAAGAAATGAAGAAGATGATGTAAAACTCGATAGGCAATCTCTCTCGTCATCTCTTTGGAGGGTATACTACATTAAAATCATCCACAAAACTCCAGTAATGTGAGTTAACTTCTGAAAAATGAAATGGAAAAATCTCTCCCATAGAAAATGTATCTAAGATCAGTTTTTCTCTCTCACATTGTCATGCAAAATCTGACCTTAGGATTTTGCATAAAGGAGCAATAATGAGTGAGTGGGAGACAGGATTAGTGTAGAGATTGTGTATGGCCGAATTTTTGGGGAGGAGAAAGGGTTATTATGAGACTTTTCTTGGTAAGGGTACCCTCTTAAATCCTTCCCTTAAGTTTTATAAAAAATTAGCTTTAAATTTTATAAAAGCTCTAAGTATTTTCATGAACTTCCAAGAGTTTATTTCTTGGTTTTTATTGAACCGTTTGTTTTTAGAAATAAATTCATAAACTTGAATCATCTTGAATTAAGTTATAAAAATGATAACTTATGATTTGATTTTTATAAAATCAAATTTTTATATTTCAAAAAAATGAAATAAAGGTTCATAACATATGAATGTATGATTAGACAATCCTTGGATTATATTTTTGGCTCATAATTCAAATTATGATATGCGGATATTATTTCCAACTTGTAATTAAATCAAATCATGATTTAATTTAATTGAGTTTGATAAGTACTTAAACTAGTTGAGCACGTCATACATTCCGATTAATAAATCAGGGTATTTAACTTGCCCTTGAGTTGTGATCTATTGAACATGGTTTCATGTTTAGTGTTGAGATTGAACTTTGGCACTTTACAACCAAGTTGGGGTATTCACATATCAATGTGACTACTTAGTACAAGCTTACACTACATGTTCCGAGGGATCTATTAAGTCGCGATCCAGCTCAACTTGTTGCTTCTAAAGCCAAGTTATGTGCACACATGAAAATGACAAGGTTTTAGTTGAGTACTAACCTGAGTTTTGACGGTTGTCACAAAAATGCACTAAATGAATAAAGAAACATTATTTACATTATAAGATAAACATAACGTTAACAATATATGTGATGTACTAAATTAATTTTTTTACACAACCAAAGTTACCAAGAGAAAATTAGTGCAAAGCATATTTTCCAATGGGTTTCCTTATTCTCATTAACAAAATATATATACAATAATCAAAATACAGTGGTTCAAACAGCTATACATTTAGAAAGATTACAATAATGGGCCTAATAGATATTACATGCACACATGTATAATATGTGATTAATACACCCCCACAGTTTCATCGAGAGGTTGACGGATGATCAAATTGGTATAAAACTCAGTGGAAAGAGGTAACCGTAGGTCCTTGGTGAAAATATATGCAAACTGGTATCTCGAAGGCATGTGGAGAATATATACTTTCCTAACAATGACCTTGTCATTCACAAAGTGAATATTCATCTTGTTATGTTTTGTTTCTTAGTGTTGAATGGGATTAACGTTTATATACATGACCATGATGTTATTGAAATACATGATCATGTTGGTGCGAATGGGGACATGAAGTTCTCAGAGAAGATTACAGAGCGATGAGGATTCAGCCACAGTATTTACGACTCCTCGGTATTTTTCTTAAGCACTAGATCGGGACACCTTGTTCATTGGAGTTCAGGAGATCAGGTTGTCTCCAAGAAAAATATAGTATATGGAAGTGGACCTTCGAGTGGATGGACATCCCTCCGGTCCATCTTTGAGTAAGATATAAGGGACAAAGAGGGGGAGGCATAGAAACGAAAATCATGATGAGGAGTGATGCGAGTGTAACGTAAGATATGCTTTAAGACATTAAATTGTGGTTCCCAAGGATCATGCATATATAGGCAGACTTGTTGGACGGCAAAGAAAATATCCAGACATGTAAAGGTAAAATATTGAAGTGACTATATAGTGCTTTGGTACAAGGTGGGATCATTGACAACTTTCCTACTTGCACCTAGTTTGTGATCAATTTCAATATACTATATGTGCTCTCTGTGGATTCGTGAAAAGACTTTTTTAACGATGTTTTATGATAAAAATGGACATCTGTAATTTCTTTTGCACATGATTTACACTAATAAACTTGTGTGTACTAGGGTTAAGACTTGAGTGACCAATGACGATATGGGGAACCAATGACAACAAATGAAATTGTGGTATTCTTGACAAGCCCTATTTGCATATAAGGCTAGATACCTTATATGTGGATGTTGTATAATGTACAAATTATCCTAGTTATGATGGTATACTTGCTTGATGTTTGGAAGATATGCCTTTACTAAGAGTGATGTTTGGAAAACATGCAATCATTTCTTGAAAAAAAATCCAATTTCATTGATGTATAAGGTTGGACTTAAGATCACGCGGTTTGGGACTTATAAGCATAAGAATTACACTTATTATATGATGGTTTGGTGTTTTGCTGATTTTTTACAAATGATGAGCAATTATTTCAACTTTTATGACAAATAACGATTTCCTTTTAATGATGAATGATGAATACCCTTTAATGTCGAATGATGAGGTATGACGAACCACCAATGATTACTATAACAGTGTCCAAATTCTACTTTTTCAACTGATGCTTTGTTTTACCATATTTATGATAATAATATTTTTATGACATTTTCTAAATACTTTTGGGTGTTCATCCATTAAAAGTAAGTACAAGTCCTTGAATTTCCAAATGTGTTGAACCCCGATA